TATGCAACATATACGCATGCACAGAAATCACGAACATAAAGCAAAAAGAATATCATACCTTGCTTGTGGCTTCATCTCCTGGTTCGTTGTCTGTACTTACTTGTGCGTCTTTAGGATATACCGTAAGAAATCTTGGAGTTTGTAGATGTCTCTCTTTTCATTGAGAAATTTAACTGTGAGTCAAGGTCAAGGTTTTCTTTATTGTCAATCGCATCATGTGGTGGAACGAAACTGTACACAGGGTTCCAGTTACATCAAACAAAGGTATAAATTGTAAAAGAAAATCAGTAATAAGATCTAAGCTATGAACTAAGAAATACGCTAACTACTTAATAGTGCAAAACAATACACCGAACAACAGCAGCATGAACATGAGTCTGTGTGAGCAGATGAGTACGAATGAACACAGCAGTATGAAATAAATCAGCAGCATGAGATCAGCAGCATAGATAATCAGCAGCACATATAAACAATCAAGTGGCGTTACAGTGATTTATTTATTTTTTTTCAAAGTGATAATCCCGATTAGGGATTCATGAGTCTAACAGCCTCAGGGTAGAAGCTGTTCATCAGTCTAGTGGTTCTACACTTAATGCTGCCGAACCTCCTGCCTGAGGTGAGCTGGGCAAAAAATGTGTGTGCTGAGTGAGTGGGGTCCTTCATGATGCAGGTGACCCTCTTCCTGCATCTGGAGGTGTAGATGTCTGTGATGGTGGGGAGGCTGACTCCAACAGTCTTCTGTGCAGCCTTCACCACTCTCTGCAAAGCTTTTCTTCTGTAGCTGTGCAGCCTCCATGCCACACGTTGATGCTGGAGCACAGGATGCTCTCCACTGCACACCTGTAGAAGGAGGTGAGGACTGAGCTTCCCAGACCAGCTCGTCTCAGCTGCCTGAGGAAGTAGAGTCTCTGATGAGCTTTCTTGATCAGGCTGGTGGTGTTGTCGCTCCAGCTGAGGTTGTCATTCAGGTGCACACCCAAGTACTTGTAACTGGAGACTACTTCCACCGCAGATCCTCCTATGTTCATGGGGGGTAAGTGTGTTTGTTCCGTCTGAAGTCCACGACCATCTCCTTCGTCTTCTTCACATTGATGTGAAGGTTGTTCTTCCTGCACCAGCTCTCCAGGTGTTCCACCTCATGCTGCACTGGCTGTGAAAGAGTGAATATGGATGTGTTTTAAATGCCCGAACACTCAGACGGACTTGTAATAAGAATCTTGCTGCAACGCACCAGAACTGTCCTTAAATCAGCAGACTTGTTAAAACTGTGTGAAATTGTTGTTCCTCTGTTTTTACTCTCACATTCGCTCTCCAGCCACTTCAAGCCTTGCCTCAAACACTCATCACATCTGCTTGCAAGCAGTTGTCTCGTGTGTGTGAGTGTGTGCGTGCATGTGTGCCTCAGATGACGATATAAAGGTGGACACAAGTGGGCTTCCAGGAGCAGTCTGGATTACTGCTGTCAAAACAGCTCAGAGTGACAGCTCGAGCTCGGTGTCAAAATGCATGCGTTTAGCAGAGAAAGAAAGTGTTGTTGCTCGAATGTTTTCAGGTATGACGAAGCATTCCAGCTGCGTGTTTGGATTCTGTACTTAGGCTAGACGAGGGCGAACATCCATGCTGTCAGATATGAAGTTAACAGCCTAAAGCTGGGCGTGAATTTGCTGTAAAACTGGGCTACAAAAGGTGATGTTGCAGGAAAACTATTTTTAGCTTTCGTGTTGGGCTTGCCAAGGAGGAACGAACACGATGTGACTGGATGTGTTGCGATTTGCTGCATATTTGTTTCCTTCTCTGGTTTTATTACATTCTGGCCACCCATTCACGTAGAAGCCCGCAGCCACTTCGCCAAGTCTGGTTTGTTTTGTGGCAACGACCGACTGCCTTCAGCCTCAACCCGCTCTCAAATTAACTGCAGGCATCAACCGTGGTGGTAATGCCTTTCTATTGTGGTTGCTCCATCCTCATCCATCATGCCTCTGTTTTTATCTCCGTTTCTCAGTCAGACCAAGAAAACAAATCAGTGACGGATAATGTGAAGGAGCGGATTTATGTAATGCTTGTTTGCACGTTCAGTTTGATTCATAAATAGGCTGATGTCACTTATTTACACACTCGGCATCCACTTGCTTGCACGCCCGGATCGCCACAAACAAACAGTTTATTATCTTTATATAAAAAAGCTATCTGGAGGTCATTTCATATTTCATTACTGTGCCTTTAATAGGTATTTAAATTATCTTTCTGCAGGAACGTGGAAGTTATTCTCAAGACAGTTAGCTGCTTTGAAGATCTCATTTTAGTGCATTGCTCCTGGGTGAGGCGGGAGAACAGACTAAAATATGTACAGACAAGTCTCATGCAGACAGAGCCAGACAGCTTATAGTTTGACATTGGAAGGAGGGAATGGAAGGCGAGTGGAGAGCATCAGTAAAGTAAAAACCCAGAGCCTGATTACAAGACCTGCTCTCATCTGCCTGGAAAATGTGACTGGACTGTGTGGAGGAGGTGGAGGCATCACATTCCAGCTCACGGCCCACTATGCACTCACTTAAGATGACCACTGCAGAGGAACAAAACTGAAAGGAAGACCTGAACACACATTTACACTGAACAGAACCTATTAACTGTTAATATTTTACTACATTTAGTTTAAAAGCCAATAAAAATAAGGTCTAATGTGAAAAGTTTAGGTTTAGTGTCGCAGCCATGTTTTTCTCTAACGAAGCATGTTGTTAAATGCACTTGCTGTTTTAATGTTAATGTGGGGGGCAGCTATAGGGCAACAACACCACCAGCCTGATCAAGAAAGCTCATCAGAGACTGCTTCCTCAGGCGGCTGAGACGAGCTGGTCTGGGAAGCTCAGTCCTCACCTCCTTCTACAGGTGTGCAGTGGAGGCTGCACAGCTGCAGAAAGAAAAGCTTTGCAGAGAGTGGTGAAGGCTGCACAGAAGTCTGTCGGAGTCAGTCTCCCCACCATCACAGACATCTTCACTTCCAGTTGCAGGAAGAGGGCCACCTGCATCATGAAGGACCCCACTCACCCAGCACACACACTTTTTGCCCCGCTCCCCTCAGGCAGAAGGTTAAGGAGCGTTAAGTGTAGAACCACAAGCCTGAGGAACAGCTTCTACCTGAAACTGTTTGACTCATGAATTTCTAACCAGAATAATTACTGTGAAAAATCACATCATGTTGCTGCTGATCTGTTTCATGTTGCTGCTGATCCGTTTCATTCTGCTGTGTTCATTCGTACTCATCCGCTCACTCAGACTCATGTTCGTTCTGCTGTTCGGCGTATTGTTTTTATTCTTCTAAGGCGTAGCTTATTTTTAGTGTAACGTTTTTCTTAGTTCATATCTTGGATCTTATTAATATTTTTCTTTTACATTTTATTGTTGGATGTAACTGGGACCCTGTGTACACAATTTCATTCCACCACATGTACCACATGTGGTGCGAATGACAGATAAAGAAACTAACGTAAAAGATGTTTCCGGGCTCAGAGCATGCCCTCCCTGTTAACTTTGTTCCCTGAACATTAGGCTCACAAGTAACTACTGGTGCTTTTATTACCCTCAGCACATCCTCTATTCTTCCTCCACCCCTCCAGCTGTCTCCACGTTGATTGCTACCTGCTTTCTGTCACCTTCATGCATTCCTTTTGCACAAGAGAGCATGTTTATTTGACGTGTTGTGTGTGTGTATGTGCGTTTGCATTGTTGTAGATGGGCTAATTACAAGGCCACCATCTTGAGGTTTTGAGTCACAGCCTGAAGAGGCAGGACTCTGACTCACTCCACATCATTGACAACAGTGTGCAATAAGTAAATTACACACAAACACGCACATAAGACAACACATGCTGTCAAAGCAAATATTCTCACCAGGTCATTAGCTCAGACGCAGACGGTGTGCACGCTTTTATTCGAGCTTTGGTGCTACAGTGCCACAACACGCTGCTGATTAAAAGGCCAGAAAGCCAAAGAGTGACTGATGGGCCGCTGGCAAAGTGGCACAAGGTTTAGTTCTGTGAGAGGAGTGGGAGGAGCTCAGTGGTCACAGACTTGTTTAGATATCCCACTTCTCTTTGTGGGAATGAGAAACTGCACTCTCAGCTGGTAAACACAAAAGCAGCATCACTGTCTGCTTGACAGGCGGCTGACTTCCCGCGTGCCTCTGAGTGTTTGTGTCTGAACGTGCATGTGAGTTATATACTGCACTGCAGACAGGATGGAGGCCAAAACCATTCGATTTCTCTACAGCCTGCGCTGTAAAGGTAGGACAGGACATCTGGTGTGTGTGTGTTGTTGTGAAAGGTTGTATGCTACTCTGCATTGACAGGCAGCTGTGAGAGCGTAGCATTAATCTGTCAACCGTCAGCCCTTATTCAGCTTATCACATACGTGTGTGTGTTGGTCTTTTTTTTTTTTTGCTCCTTAGCTGCAGTGGGCAGCAACTCCCATGTTTTTTTTTTGGTTGTTGCCAGTGATTGAATGTGGTTAGTGAGTGCACTCTATTAATTTGAGGCCAGCATGGAGAAGGAGGGAGAAGGGAAAGGACGCTGGAGGAAAATGAAAAGTGATAAGCAAGGATAAATGGCTGCCTCTGGAGATGTCTGTGTGAAAGATGATATCCGATCTCGCTCACATATGCACACACTTGCCTGAAAGTATGATGAGGATGCACATGTGAGGTGTAAGATGAGTTCCTCTCAGCTCAAAGTGTTTTCTGTCCATAGTGTCAAAGATTTCAGACTTCAGTCTTAATGTTTGTTGTGATGCTTATCTTAATGATAGTGCTGCGTTTCTTAAACAGTCCATACATCGTTCGCCGTTGTTGCATGATAATTGCAGGTTATTACAGAGAAAAGAGGCCTTTGATGTTAGAAATCCAGTAAACAAGCATTATGTCATTTGTCATTTTTTTGTGCTTACAAAACCTGGATTGTTGGGAGCATGATTTAAACTCCAAATCCCACTTCCTTCTGCCCTGGCAGAGATCCGTGCCCAGCTGGTGGAGCAGCTCAAGTGTTTGGACCAGCAGTGTGAGCTGAGGGTGCAGCTGCTTCAAGACCTGCAGGACTTTTTTAGAAAGAAGGCGGAGATCGAGATGGACTACAGCCGTAACCTGGAGAAGCTGGCCGAGAGGTTCCTCACAAAGACGCGCAGCACCAAGGACCATCTACTCAAGTATGTAGCCGTGCACAGTTACCTTCCGCACCGAGGCTAAAACTAGGAATACTATATACAAAGAGTTTTTATAAACAAATATGTATAGCTCATAATTGGGAATTGCCTAGTAAGGCAGCACCTATTATTATCCACCTGACAGGGTTTCATAACTTTATGTCTTACTCTTTCGTCAACTTTAATGCGGCCCGAACTGCACAAATGTTATATCAAAACAACTGGCTTGGCACTGTGATGTGTGCGATTACTTTTATTGACGTTTCGAGTTGCCATGGCGACATAATTTGCAAACAAAGGGGCCATTTTTACTAGTAGTTTTTCATAGACTGGTTGCAAATCAAATTTCCAAGATGACCGTCTAAGCTGAAAAGGAAAAAAAATACTGTAAATTAGCCATTTTTAGAGATATTAAGTTGAAATGTGGTGTGGTTGTAGCTGAAAGCAATGCCCATTGAATAATTAATAAAAAAAAAATCAAGATGGCCACCAAAGCTTCATTTATATGGCTTTAACTCAGCTATTTTTACACACATAGAGCTGAAATTTGGTGTGATAATAGCTGAGAACCATCACATGCTGAATCCAAATCAAAAATTCAAGATGGCCACTTTAGCTAAATGGAAAAAATACGATAACAGCCATTTTTAGAGCTATTCAGCTGATATTTGGTGTGATGATATATGAGAACCTTCCCCATCACATACTCAAATCAAAAATCCAAGATGGCCACCATAGCTTAAAAGAAAAAAATGACTTTAACTCATTGATATTTTGCCATTTTGAGCTGAAATTAGGTGTGGTGGTAGCTGAGAGCAAACAGTACTGTCAAATCAAAATTTTAAAATGGCCGCCACGTGGCAGTCCCTCTCAAAAGTTTCTCCGGTAACTTTTTAGTGTAAAACTACAGTGCAATTACCCAGTCTATGTATTTAGCATGTTAAACAGAAAAGTGTTTCATAGACTGGTCTGGTGGCTTCCTTCCTGAGAAAAAGGGAAGTAGAGGCAGCAGGCACAGAAATGAAACTGAAGGATGGTATGAAAAGAGGTGACGGATAATATAGTCTGTAGAATGGACACTTGAATGACTCACAGCTTCCCAGTTTGATTAATTGAAACATCTGTAGATTTTTCATTTAATTATGTGACGACTTCAAATATATTTAAAAAATATGCATGTGTGTGTGTGTGTGTGTGTGTGTGTGTGTGTGTGTGTGTGTGTGTGTGTGTGTGTGTGTGTGTGTGTGTGTGTGTGTGTGCATGTGTGTGTGTGTGTGTGTGTGTGTGTGTTGAAAGGCAGAAATCATTTGCCAAAGCTGGCCAGGTGGTGATTTTGTGCTCCGACTGTTTTGTAGCATCTCGCTGTGAATGGAACCTTATCCAAAAAGCGGTCTTTCTCTTTCTCTGCCTCTTTCTTGTAAGGCTGCACCACTTTTTGACTCCATCGATGATTATTGAAATGCATAAAAATGCACCGTGAAAGGCTTCATCTTAAGCAGCTTTACTGATTTGGCAGTTGTTGGTTTTTTTTTTGTAGGAGAGAGAACAGTCTGTTTCTCTGTGGGGAGCTGCTAGCTAATCATAAACCACATGCGCACACAAAATTTGGCAGTGCTACTGCAGATAAATGAAGCCGGTGGTGACTTCAGTTACATAATTGTACCTCTTTGCATTTCACTTATCTTTTAACAAATAGCTCCGACATTAATTAAGATCTACCATCTCATAGTCTTTGTGTATGAAGATGGATTCAGATTTCTAAAAAAAACACTTAAAATACACTGGTTGCATAAATTAATTAGCATTATGTTGTTATATTATTAAAACAGATATATTTATGTAGATATGTTATGCTGTTTGTTAGTAATATACTTTAACGTACTTGAAGGACAAGGTACCCTTTTTCAACTGCATTTTTGCGTTGTTTTTTATTTGTTGTTTAGAAGAGCAGCTTTTCTTCTGTGAGACGTTGTTCACAATAAAACAGGTTTGGACACTGATTTGTCTCAGTAGTTGTTAAAATGCATAAAACAAGAGCATTCAGTTCTGCACTTGACAGCTAACGGCATCAAACTTTAAACTAGAAAGTATTTAGTAAAGTAAAGTACTATGTGTTGTCATCATTGTATGTTTCCATGCAATAACAAAATTAGTTCTCTGCATTTAACCCACCACACCTGAGGTACACCCAGGTGGAGCAGTGGGCAGCTATGTAAGCACCCAGGGAGCAATTAGGGATTGGGTGTCATGCTCAAGGACACCATGACGTGGGCATGGCGGGGAGTTGAGCCAGCGACTTTCTGGTCCCATCGGCTGCCCTACCTCTACACCGTCTTGTCCCCAAAATTTGACTTGAGCAGATTTTTTTCAGCTGCCAAAACAATCACATGGCCACAATTTTAATGTAGGAGATAATGTCCTGATGCCCTGTGTGCATGCATGCATATGCTCATTTTTCAGTCTGTTAGTAAAATATGTACCTTTGGACACAATTAAATGAAACTCTCCCAAATGGATCATTTCATGTACAACTTCAAACTGACTCCAGATGGCCGCAACAATTAATTAATTTTAGCTAACACAAAAAATGGCTGTAGCGCTGTCAGTTTTACTAATACAGTAGTTTCTCGTTTATCACGGGGGATCCGTACCCTGAAGACCCGCAATAAGTGAAAAAACGCCAAATAGGAATAGTAGTACAAGTAGTAAGTAGTAGTTTATTTTAATATATATGTGTGTGTATATGTATATATATATATATATATATATATATATATATATATATATATATATATATATATATATATAAAGGTGTTTTAAACCTTTCCCACACTCTTACAACATTCTAAACAATGTTTCTCAACTCTAAACGCTCTGAATGAGCACAGAATGTCATGATTTCAGCTCTCTGCCATCGCCCTCGGCCACGCCCACTTCTCCTCTGCAGAGCGGCGATCAGCTGATCAGCTGCAGGAGAGAGCTTCTTCCCAACTGTGGGCTGCACACAGGTGCTAAATCATTTAAAATAATTCATTTTAAATTAAAAAATCCAAAAAAAAAAAAATGTGCGGCTCGTTCATCAATCAACCAATTGTGTCATGTCCAATCTTACTTTGAAAAATCACAATAGAGAGAGTCAGCGAAAAATGAACCGCAAAGTAGCTAGGGACTACTGTATTGAGCTAAAATTTGTTGGGATAGCAGCTAAAAGTCATCCCAATCCAAATTTCCATGGTGCATGTTGCTCTTTCAGGTACAGCTTATTGCATTTTATTGATCTATGTTTGTAAACCTGTCAGAGGTGACTGGCTCACAACAACAGATTTTAAAATAAAGTGGACAAAATGTAGCTAGCATAACAATTAGCAATGGTATTTTAATGTACAGAATGGGCTCCTAGAAATGGTTCAACTATGTTGTGCACAGTCTTATTTACAGCAACAATATATAATCTAAGAGGCTATGAGCTCATTATTGGCCAAGGAAATAAAAGAAACATTCAAATACGCAAATGTGTTTTTAATTTCTAGACTTTTTTGGTTTAAACATTGAACTCGTGTGCGTGTGTGTATGAGAGTTTTTTAAGTTGTTTACAAGATTTATATTCTGCTTGTTGTTGGATCTGAGAAGCCAAGAAGGGTAGGAACCACTTGCTTGATTTTTCAGTGTTTTGCATTTCAAAAGCTTGTTATATTATAAACTAATATTAAAAAAGAATAACTTAGTTTGCACACAGATTAATATTGTGGAGTAAAACGTATAATAATTCCCACTTAACAGACATAAACTAAACGTATTGGAGCAGCAAAATGTCGACATTTTCTATCAAAGTTCCCTAATTACTTGTGAGATCCTTACGGTGAAAATTTGTAGTGATTAATTACTGATGTTGATTTGAAACGGCTCAAGGGCTCTGTAATTGTCTCCACAGTGCCATAAATCTGTCCCTAAACAATCCACGGAGGCACGAAAAGCTGCACTGACAGTGCCGGGATTTTTATGGGATATCTGTGAGTCATCAGCAAAAGCTTGCATTTCAAGTTCATGATGTTTGAGCAAACTTTTCTATAGAAAACTCCTTTTTTATTTATTTATTATTCTAAATTTCCTAATAATTATAGATTCACTGAAGCCATAAATACGAGAAGCACGCAAGGAACGGAGACGAGTTTTCTTTATTGACTCTCACCTCCCACTATCTTTTTACTATTCTAGTTTCAAAGGTTCTTGGGTTTTGATGTTATTCTGAGAGAAGCATTTTTATAAACAAAATTGCTTAATTTTGCCCCCTTTGTGTCGGTGATTGGGGTGATTTAGAGAAGAACGGAGCGGTTTATAATGCATCGAAACTACCCACAACACAGAGAATTCCTTTACAGTGAAGCAGGAACAGTTTTAATTTGTATTTTACTGTGTCCATGAAAAATCAGTTAAGAGAAATATGTTTCAAAGATACTTTTTTTAAAACACTTTCCATGGCATCCTGATAGATACTAATTAAATCCTTCAACAGAGGCTTCAGTGTGCTGGTTTTTACTACAGGGGACGTAATTATCAGCTTTTTGATCAACTGGATCTTTCAAAATTACCAAAGCTTTTTGTGTAACTGGACTTTTTTGTTGTTGTTTTGTTTGCCTTGTGCCTTCACTTATCTTTGCTGTTTAACTCTAACCTCCTCAACGACAGCCACCGTCCTCTTTCTCTGCACCGTTCTTTTATTTTTCCGAAGCGTCATGCACTCTTCCGGAGAGACAGATTTCTCTGTAGGGGGTAAATCCACGTTCACTGTCTTTGACTCACACAGACTAACAGGGAATCAATAGGTCCTCTAAACGAAACCCAATTCCACCTAAGAGGACCCCCCCCCCCCCCCATACACACACACACATACACACACCCTCCAGCTCTGATCAATATTCAGTCAGTTGCAGAGCATGTGTCTCCCTCTGTTGAACTTTGGGGGAGGGAGGAGACCACAGGAGGGACGTGCAATGGACAGAAAATTTAATATGTAGCCGAGCTGACTTCTTCTTTTAAGATCCATTCACGTGCCACCAGTTATTTATACGTCACTGAGAATATTGTAATTTACCAACCGTGACGTGTTCAGTCTCCATTTTCCTTCGTGTCTTTGCTTTTTATTCAGTTTACCTCCAACATCTGTGCAATTAACACTCGTCATTGCATCTGCTGCCGCACGGTCCAGGTGCCATGCTGGAATTTCAGCTATGTTCCGGTTACGTGCTCGTAACTTTGTGTGTTTCGACTTGAAGTTCACGTTAATGCATGCGAGGGCGGCTGTGTTTTTTTTTCTCTGTACGCCCGGGTGTCAGTGGTGCTCCAAGCAATGTGGGGTGTGAGGGCTGTGAGTGTGTCGATCCCGTGGAGACCCCTGGTATGCTTGCTATTTGGCAGAAGCTACACAGCAGTGGTTGGAGGTTTGTACATTTGGACCATATTTTGTGCGTCTCTGTGCGTGAAGGTTCTGATTGGCCGCTTTGAGACACGTTGTGTTCACATTCAAAACCTGCCTCATGCTCGAAACCGGGTTTAGTTCCCTGTTAATAAGTTGAAGGTCTTGTGTAACTCGAAGCTGCAGTTTATGTCTATTGTTTTAATATATTTCTTTGAATTATATTGTGAACCTCGTTAAGGTTTTTATCTGAGAAATGTGCTAGTGACTTCTCGAGGACCTGGTCACATGATTGTATTGTCGCAAATCGCCTCAATGTGTCTGTTTTTCATGTCATGGCTAAATCTAGCTGATGGTTTTTCCTCTTGGAAAATATTAACAAAGTAATGGTTTATTTTTTACTGAAATATAAAAAAAATAATACATTTCTAACATGGCACAATAATTCCTATACTGAAACACATGCACATATTCTTAAAATATATTTTTTCCAGTTACATTACCGGTAGTTAGTTATGTCAGTTATATTTTTCCAGTTTTTCCTGTTATTCAGTTCATACCCTGAAAATGTTTGTAGATGAAGAATAACCTGCTCATTTTATGTTGTTTATTTTAATCGTGCATTTCCCTTTAATTAACGTTTTTGAAATCCAGTCACGGTAATGTAAGCATAAGTGATTTAATATAGGGATTACGAACCATTGTGCCAAGTTAGAAAGGAGTCTTTTCCAAAGAACTCAGTAAATCTGGTAAGGCTGAGATGTCCCAGCTTTTCACCAGCCTTGAACGCAGCATTACCTTTGTGAATTTGGAGCAGTAAGAAAGTCTCAAAAGTCACATTCACAGGCTAGTTGATCCATGTGCTCGTGTCGACTGATTCGTCCACAACAGGTGATATGTGCACGTGTATTTAACCATTTGTACGCACTGAATAATTCTGCTCGTGCCAATTTAAATGTGTACATTTGAACAATATTTGTAAAACTTGTAGTACGCTTGTGAATTTTATTGTATGCGTACAAATCTTGTATGCTTGTGTACTTTTGAGACTGTTTTATCTTCATAATAAGTAGCTACTTACAGTATATGCAAGTGTGCTCATTTAACATAGTGCTGTGCAAAAGTTTCAAACCTTTCCTAATTGCTTTGTTCTCTGTTCAGCCTCTGACCTCTGACTCATTCAGGCGGATAGTGGCACCTTAACTGGAGGTGAATCAGTGTTGTGTCAACACATGACCGACACCTTAACAAGGAAGCAGTTTTCTGTTGGATCTGTAGGTGCCATGTTCCTAGCTTGTCAAAAAAATTAAAAATAAAATGTGCTGAGTTTGTGAAAATGTTATTTATAACAATATTTGACATGTTAAGCAGTAAATTAGCACCAATTAGATGGTTCCCAAGTTGGTAGATAAAAACTTGACATGCAGTAGAGAATCAACCGGAGGATGACGGTCTTGCGTTTTGTGTCAGGTCTATGCTGAATTTGTTTTGGTTTTTTTTGGCAGTACAAGCCCATAGTGGGGGGGGGGGGAACAGTTTTCTGGTGATAAGATGGTTTCTGGAGCCTGCCCTCCCTCTCCCCCATCAACTCCTCTGAGGCAGCCTTGCCAAAATGGTTCAAAGCACCAAAGTTCATGCTCAATAATCCAGGTAGAAATCCAGCAATGTTCAGTCAGGTCATGTGGACGGTTTATTTTTTTTCCTGAGACATTTCATCCTTTATCCAAAGGACTTATTCAGTCCAAGAAGCCACTAACAAACACAAAATGGCGTTTTGAACCATTTTGGCAAGTCTGCCTCAGAGGAGTTGACAGGGGAGAGAGCAGGCCCCAGAAACGATCTTATCACCAGCAAACTTTTTTTTTCCACTATGTGAGTGTGGTGCTTGTGGGACTCCAGATTGATTGCGGGTCCTCAGACTGAATAAGTCCTTTGGATGAAGGATGAAACATCTCAGAAAAAAAATAAAAAGAAACTGTCCAGATGACCTGACTGAACATTGTTGTTGATAAAGACAACTTTAAAAGATCACTTGAAGTCCTCTGAAGCAACATATAGAGAAATTAAATTTAAAGCTTTTGTGCATTCTGTGAAATAAAATCTCGCCACTGTAACAAAGGTTAGCTCTGTAAGCTTTGTTTACCCACGATTTAGGATAGTGGGGTTTTGTTAGCAGCTCTCCATCTTTTTTGACCTCGTTACCTTTTCTACTGAGGTTAGGCAACAAAAACTTTGACCGTACCATTTGAGGATGTCTGTATAATTCTGGTCATGTGACCTCTGGGCACTCAGTGATATTTCAGCGTAGGTGGGAGTCAGGCAGGGGTTTCGGCGACATTTCACTGAATATCGCTCGTGACATGTCACATGAGGGAGCAGAAATAAGCTTCTTGAAACGACAGCGGAGCTGCAGCCGCGTCTTTGTGTTGGGCAACCAGCACAGGCAGACGTGCCGGAAAACAAACAAACAGCGGAGGGAAGTGAACACACACTTTCGTCCTCATGACTGTTGGAGCTCAACTCATGGAGTGTTGTAGTCATCAAGCTTTGTAACAGATCTGTAGGTGGGTTATTATTTTTCTTTCTCACTGCTGGAGTATTATGACGGTTATTTGACCTGTGACAACTTGTACCACCCGGGTCCATCACTGTCCACACACCCTGAACACACACACACACTCCTTCACATAGACACCACCCCCAACTCTATACTCAAAGACCTTCTCTGTGTACTTGACAGTGTGTACGCTTGGGTCACTGCTCTACTTTCCCTGACCCCTGTGTGTGCGTATGTGCGTGCGTGCGTGCGTGCGTGCGTGTGTGAGTCATGTAAATGCCTTGCATCTCTTTCTCTTCATCCAGTTAAAGCTGCTCTTAATGACACAAAGGCCATCTTTCATCCACTTACACTCACTCATAATCCATTTTACCCACTAGATCATCCGTAAATCGCTCGTAACTCATTGTAGACACACACTCATGCAGTCAAACAGCATGTGTGTGTGTGTGTACTCTGTAAAAACTGTTGTGTTGCTGTGTAGGCGGGACATCTGACTGTCGGGCATATTTGAAATAGATTTGTAATGACTTATAACAAAGTCAATACAGCAAAGAGCAAACTATTTTATTGTAGTTAAAATGACTGTGGTTTTCAGATCTCTTTACTTTCTTTCATTTTTTTATACAACGCCTGTGCTTTAGGGGAAGGCTTATGCCTTCTTGCTGTCTTTTAACAGTCGGGCTATATTCTGTGTTGAGGCTGGCTAACATGCACTCTGTTTGAATAAAAAATAAATAAAAATAGAATAATACTGTTGGTTTATATTGAATTCTGTCTAGGAGTTCTCTCACTTTCTGGCATGTGTCTGTGCAACCCACCAATATGAAAAGGTGGCATTAGCGGATAAAAAATGTTGGAAAATAATTAATTCATAAAAAAAGGCTTGCACATGGTTGAAAGCATTTTAAATCTGTCTGTCTCTGTGCATGCAGGAAGGAGCAGACCATTTTATCTCCGGTGAACTGCTGGAACCTGCTGCTGCTTCAGGTGAAGAGGGAGAGCCGCGACCACGCCACCCTGTCCGACCTCTACCTCAACAACATCATACCCCGATTCGCGCAGATCAGCGAGGACTCGGGACGCCTCTTCAAGAAGGTAAAGCCACACTCAGACTGAGCACTTGACTTCCCTCTGCTTCGTTCTTAGCAAGCTAACTCGCACGAAGACTTGGTGATTGTTTTCATGCCGGATGCCCTTCCTGACGCAACCACAGGCCACCGAGCTACCACAGCCCTCTGTGTGGAGTAGATCCATCTAGGGCACCCAGAGGAGCAGATCATGGGGGTTAAGGGCCTTGCTCAAGGGTCCAGAGTGATCAAATGACGGTGGAGGCAGGTGTGGGTGCTTCACCATTACCACACATTTTGACGTCTGTTCGGGGAGTTGAACCCGCGGCCTTCTGATCACAGGCCCACCTTCTCTAACCTCTGTGCCACCGCTCCCCCATAAAACTGAGCATGACTACATGAGTAAAAAAAATACAAGAGTTTTGCGATAATACTGTATTAAAACAACAACAAAAAGCATTCCTTGAAGGAGTTCAAATCCCCCGCCCATGTCAGAGTTTTGAATCAAGATCAACTTATAACAAGAAAGGATGGAGTTGTAGAAGTTTTGGTCCAACCTTGTAAATGATGGACACATTCTCATGCAGTGTTGTTGGTGCTTGCAGCACGTGTTGAGGATGACTCTCACCAACTACCTCATCAAACTTTAGCCAAACGCCTGTACAATTAACTGAGCTGATATTTTGTACAAAAGAGAAACAAACACAAGCAAAAACATTATTACCCTTGAGCAGTAGGTGATTAAAACACTATAAATGATTTTAGTTAAAAACAGAAATGCAACTTGGTATAAAAATTATGGTAGCTATAACTACAGAAATTGCAATTCCTGCAAAAATGCAATATGAATGCACTGCTGAAGAACTTGCTGAAAAACAGCTAAAATTAGCTTTAAAAAAACATGCTGGAATGAAAGAACAAGCCTAAGTTAGCAAAAGAAAGCAGAAAGAACATCTGTTTGCTGAATTAAATTTAAAAAAGCAGAAATAACCTCAAAATTAGTAAATTAGCTTAAAAAACCCATGAAATTAGCAAAAGTAGCTGAAAAAGCAGAACACAGCTTAAACTGCCAAACGTAAGCAGAAAGAGTTGAACTGAGCTCCAAAAATGTAGAATTAGCTTAAAAAGCTAAAATTAGCATAAAACAGCCAAATAGTAGCTAAAATTGCAGGAAAAGCTAAAAGCAGCAGAAAAACTGAAAGGAGCATAACAAGCTGAAATTAGCAGAAAGAAGTTAATTGGGCTCAAAGTAAAATAAATTACCATGAAAACTTGAATTTATCTGAAAACAGCTTAAATTAGCATAAAAAGCAGAAAGAACATGTGCTGAAAGAAGCAGAAATGAGCACAAAAAAGTGGAAATTATCTGAAAAAGCTGAAATTAGCAACACAAAAAACCCATCTGAAAAGTAGCTAAAAAAGCAGAAAGAAGCTGAAATTACAAGAAGGAAGTGTAGAGCACATTTTGCTGAATTGGGCTGAAAAAAAGTTTAAATGAGTGCAAAAAATGTGAAATTAGCTGAAAAACTTAAATTTGCATAAAACAGCTATATAGTAACTGAAATTTTCAGAAATAAGCTGAAAGGAGCATAACAAGCTGAAATTAATTGAAAGAAGTTAGAAGAAAAAGAAAAATGTTGTAATTAACAGAAAGAATCTGAAAGGAACGTAAAACAACTGGAAAAACAGCTCAAATTAGCTGAAAGTAGCTGAAAAAATGTTACAATTTATACAAGAAGCTGAACCAGAACAAAATGTGAAAGGAGCAGTAAAAGGTTGTAAACAGATCTACAGATTTGAAGGATGTAAAATGAGCTCTGTTCATTTTCTATGAGAAGAAAAATGGCTGAAAAGACTAAATATTTCAAAAAGCTAAAGTTGCACTAATACCAAAAGTCATAGCAGGATTGTCCTGAAAGAACACAAGCAAAAACATTATTACCCTTCAGCAATAGGTGATTAAAACACAATATAAATTATTTTATTTAAAAACAAAAATGCCACAGTATTATAGAAATGATTGTAGATATAATATTACTTGTTTATAGTCACAAATGTACAAAACACGTAAAAGAACTCCAGTGATGGTGCTGACAGTCACTTTGTTTAACTCGGTGTCAGGTATTTCAGCTGCTTTTGAATGATCAGCTTTTCTTATTTTGAAGCTCAGAGATCTTGATTTAATCACTAGATTAAATTTAAAACTTTGCTACCTTAAAAAAAGTGTTTGGTGATAGTCGAACTGTGACTGTATTGTTGTTTTTTACGATGCAAAAACTTTTTTTTAAGTTGGGGAAAGTTCAGGAGAATGCTCCCGTCATTCGGCCGTCCTTCAGCTGAATGACAGCTTGTAGCAACAGGAGCTCCACTCTGTGACTGGAAAGACGTCGTCTGTCGTCTCGTTTAAAGAAGTTCGAACGGAACAGTAAGATGGAAACAAGTAGTGGTTTGGACACAGGGACTTTTTCAAAACAGGGATGTACTTTTAAACCAGACTCCTCACAAACGCACGAGCCTAACTTGGCTTGAGGTTATCGTCGTTGCACTTCTTGATGTGTGAAGAGGAGCATTAAAAGGTCAAGGTGAATGGTCCTCTTCAAATGCTGAAGCAGAATCCATGTCATATTTTAGCCGTGTCCATATCCACCTCCCCAGCATCTGCTTTTTTGTCCTGTCTGATTTATTGACTGACAGCACGTCAGCTGAAGCCTGAACCTTTGCAGTTTATAGTTTCATACACAAGTCTTACTGATCTTTGCCTCCTCGACTGGCAGATAAGAGATGAGAAGGGTGACCTGTGGAGGAGAAGCGGGAGTGAAGACGAGAAGCTGTGCAATATGAAGCAAATATTAATGCAGAGTTCTCCTCCTGGCAGATGGTTGTTCATCTCCACGATGGGCAAATTAGACTGCTTGTTCTGCACGAGTCTGACTGTGAGTGTGTCAGCATTGCTGCAGGATGAGGTCATTCTTGCAGGTTGTTGGCACTTCAAAGAGCGAAGCTTTGGTTTGGATTTAAAATTACAATTTATTTGAGGTCAGCCCAGTAAGGGGTAAGTTTAAGGTAAGGATCAAAGCGAGGAGAGATCCAGCTGGGTGTAGTGCAACGAGAGGATTGTCATGAATGGAAAGCTGAAGTGAAGTTTTGACTTTTCATGCGTGTGTGGACAGTAAATCCATCTGTAGGGAACGTCATGGCGGAGGCAGCTGATGTCCGAGCTGCTGCTGTTCGTGTGCTCCATTTTACAGATTATTCATGAGCGTGAAAAATGCATGCCAATCTTCACTCCCATCGTTCTAAACATCAGACAAAATGTTCGTGTGAGCACATTAGTTTGTCTGTTAGCTAAATATCTCCTGAACCACTGAAATTAATTTAACGAAACTTGCAGGAAATAATCATCAGATGGACTGGGATAGATAGGATTGATTGGACTTTTGGAGTGCTCTATTCAGGTGGCCCCCACAGCTAATCATCATAACCAACAAAAAAAAAAACGGCTATAAAACTGTCATTTTTGCAAATGTGGAGGTCAAACTCTTCAGGTAGTAACTAATATTAAGTCACAACATATACAGTACTCTGACTGTGACTGTGCATAATGGCATTTTCAAGATTTGACCAAAACATCTACTCTGTCATTTCCCCCGCGTGTTATTCTTTTATTATTATTAATTACTGGGTAATAAGACATTCTGCTGGGCCTTTACTTATAGTACTTTCTTTTTTACAACACTTATTTGTCTTTACAAGGTCAAAACAGACTGCACACATACTACCACACAATGCTTAGATGGTTAATTAGCTGTATAATTAGTTCAGTTCTGACATAGTCCTGGAGGCTACGACGCACACCGCAGCTCGTATTAGAGAAGTCGGTGCGTTCATATCACACACTTGTTTCCAGGATGGAAAGTGCTGCAGAACCGTTCTGTTTGTGGACGATCACGTCTGTGAGGAGTGCGAGCGCTAATGAAACGCATCGTGTTGATGAACGTGTCGTCTAAGCTGCACCTCAAGACTTCAGCTCTAATGAAGCGTGCCAGGTGCTGGTTTGTTGAGCTAGACCAGGCGACCACAGGCAAACTGAGGAGTCCAAAGGTCAACACCCACTGTTTACAAGTAGGAGGGCTCCAGCAAGCCTGATTGCTCTTTGATTGGCTGTGGTCTGGTCTCTGTCACCCAGTACGAGCCCCTTTAAAGTACTTTTAACGAGTGTGTGCAGCACAACATCACTTCTCCCTCACATGTTGCAGTGTCCGTCTGCAGCACTGTATGTCTGCATATCATCCATCCCCCCTGTTTCCACCATATCTCTCCTTATCCCAACTTTTTTTTTTACCACTTCACCTACAAACCTTTAAAGCGACCCCTCCCCCCTGTTCGTTACCTTTCTACAGACAGAGACAGATGCTCAGCATGCGCTGGCAAAATCTGTTTTTGCTTACATTCCGCATTCCTCGTCCATTTTTTTGTTACTTTCTTCGCCTTTTTTTTTTTTTTCCCTCCACCAAGAATCCTTTTGTTCATCCTGCAGTCTCTAACCTGTCTGCTTTGAATTGAAGTCTCTGCTAAAACAAAAGTGTAAATTTGTGCATCGTGCTCATGTTTCAAAGTGTGTTACTTTTAAACAGTGGTTGTTTAAATTATTATCTGATCAGTCCCTCATTCCTGAAAACAGTCCTCAGATCAAATCGGACTGTTAACACTTTTTTTTTTTTTTTTTTTTTTTTTATGTCGTTCCACTTCTGCGTAACCAGTTTGTTTAAACTTATTTTCTGTGGTGATGAATTTTCAGACAGTGGCTCATTTCATTACCCTGTTCCAGCTTTGGCCTAAACATCTGGTCATTTCTGAGGCCTACAGAGCTCAAAGGTGTTGATGTTACGAAAAACTTCTGATAACTAGAGAAATTGCATTTGTGTGAATGCTTAATGCAGAAGTTCTAGCTGAAAAACAACTAAAATTAGCTATTAAAAAAAATTCTGAAATGTAGCTGAAATGGAAGAACAAGCCTAAATTTGTAGAAGAAAGCGGAACAAACCCATATTTGCTGAATTAAGTTTAAATAAGCAGAAATGCGCACAAAAATTAGGGAATTAGCTAAGAAAAAAGCTGAACTTTGGAGAGAGAAAAAAACAGCTGAAAAGGCAGAAAGAAACTTAAACTACCTGAAGGAAGCAGAAAGAGATTAACGGTAAATGAGCTAAAAAAAAAAAAAAGTGGAATTAGCTGAAAAAGCTAAAGCTAGCATCAAAACACCTAAATAGTAACTGAAAGAGCAGAAGAAGCTGAAGCTAGCTGGAAAAAAGCTGAAAGGTTCATAACAAGCTGATATTAGCATAAAGAAGTTAATTAGGCTGAAAGTAGCAGAAATTACCTTGAAAAAAATTGAATTTATCTGAAACGGCTGAAATTAGCTAAAATGCTAACAAGCTAGCTGAAAAGGTAGAACAAGCTTCAATTAGCAGAAAAAAGCAGAAAGAACATGTTTACCCAAATAGGCTGAAAGAAGCAGAAATGAAATGAGCACAAAAAGGTTGAAATTATCTGAAAACACTTGAAATTAGGAAGGAATTAAAAAACAGCTGAAAAGCAGCAAAAAAAAAAAAAAGAAACAAAGCAGAAAGATGCTTAAGTTACCAGAAGAAAGTGGAGAGAGCGCATTTTGCTGAATTAGGCTGAAAGAAGTTGAAATGAGTGCAAGAAATGCAAAATCAGCCGAAAAAGCTAAATTTAGCATAACAAATTTAAACAATAGCTGAAATAGTAGAAAAAGCTGAAACTTGCAGAAAAACCCTGAAAGAAGCGTAACGTACTGAAATTAGCAGAAAGAAGTTAGAAGAAGCACAAAAATGTTGTAGTTAGCAGAAATAATCTGAAAGGAGAAAAAAAAAAAAAGCAGCTGAAAGTAGCTGGAAAAAATATCCTGATGCATGCTCAATAATCAATAATTATGCTCAATGATAAATAGCTGGAAAAAAGTTTCCATTTGCACAAGGAAGCTGAAGCAGAACTAAATGTGAAAGGAGCAGTAAAAGGTTGTAAACAGATCTAAGGATTTGAAGGATGTAAAATGAGCTCAGTTCATTTTCTATGAGACAAAAAGTGGCAGAAAAGGCTAAATATTTCAAAAAGCTAAAGTTGCTCCAATACCAAAAGTCATAGCAGGATTGTCCTGAACGAGCTGAACGTTTTGATGTATGATTTGTGGAAAAAGCACAAAAAATGCAGAACGAGAAAGATGCTGAAAAATGTACGGCAGAATAATGGGATCATAGTAAGAATGCTTCATAAACATTCCCACAGTCTATCGAGGCACCTTAACCTAAAAAAACTGAGCTCCGCTTAAAAACACCGTGCCGCTGTATTTCCTGCTTTCAGACTTTGATAAAAATGCTGGTCATCGAAACCAGTTCAGTCCAGATATGTGACGTTAAAGTGTTTTAGTTTGACAAAGTTCCTGTTGCTGATGGTAATTCTTACCTTTCTTTCATATTATCTCATTAAAGGAATCGTTCTATTTTATTCACTTTATCTAACGTGTTTGTTTTGGTCAATTTAACTCATGTGCTGCCTGTTTTCAGGCTGTAATGTGTCCAGAGGATAAATGTTTTATTGTACCCAGTCCAAAATGTCATTCTGCTGGTGTTCAAATAAAAATGACCTGAGCTGACCTCCGTGCTACTCTTAGTAAAAATGTTTTCCGTTTGCTAGTTTGGGTCAGTCCTCCTGACATATTTATGCAAAAACATGAGCAGAGTTCAGAATAAGGTTGTGTGTGAGCGTTAGCTTAAATGTGTGGCGTTTACTGACTCTGGGTTTCTGTTATCAGTCCCTGGTGGCTCCTGGTGTTTACGTCTTGATTATGGTCGTGCTTGTGTTGCTCTCCGTCCTCCCTTCCATATCTTTCTATAATTTTTTTTTTGCAGAGTTGTTACCTCGCCATTTTATCTTTCCCTTTTTTTTTTATCCTGACATTTCCTCCTCCATCAACATCTGTTGCACAAATCCATCCAATTGGTTGTTTGCATGTGGTTATAAAAACAAAAACAGAATCCGACAGAACAGGCAGGTGAACGTTTGTCCTGCAGGTTACGATCACCTGATGGTTAAAGCTGTTCGTTGACCGTGTTTTTCTCGTTGTCCTTTCAGAGCAAAGAGGTTGGAGTACAACTGCAAGAGGACCTGTTGAAAGTTCTGACTGAACTTTACACAGTAAGTTACCCACACCTATACTCAATAGCTGATGATCAAAGGGAAATGGTATTTTCTTTTATATGACGGTTTATAAATGTGTTTCCTGTGTGTGTGTGTATGTGATGCTAAAGCTGCTTCATATGACCTTAATTTAAAATAGCAAAGAACTGCTTATAAAAAAGCCAAATGATGTTCTGCAGGTTGTCGCTGGCGTTTCTTGAGTGACATCTTTTGACTTAATTATATATATTTGTACGTAAAATTTGGCCTAAATAGGGCCGTTTCTTCAGTAACCTTTGTTTGACCGGATATCTGCAATAAAAACGTTAATATTAATTGTGCTTTATATATTAAAGCACTGTCTGAACCTCATCTGTGCTCTTTGTTTAAAGCAGGTGCCTCTTGTAAATGAGTCCTCAAGGTTCAATGAGACTAATCTGTATAAATAAAAGTTTGAATTTAATTAATTTAATTAGAAAATCCACTTTTCTACCAAGCTAAACAGTGATAGTTTTAAAGATTACATCCATGAGGCCTCACTCTTTTTGTTTGCGTCACGTTACATTGTCATCTGGTTCCACATGTTTACCATACCACCAAAAGACTGAGGCAGTCGGAGTGTTTGTGTTGGTTTTGTACTAAAGCGAGCCATAGCATAGCTTGAGGTCAGCTTGTCCCATAAAAGCAAGCCTTATGCTGTAATTATATCTATATTAAAAGACAGAAATAGATCTGGTTTGACTGACGCTCACATGTATGCTCGGAGTCAGAGTGTGTTTGAAAGTCTGATATAATGACTGCTCTGGTGGTGGTCACAGAAATGAAGCTGGCTTTGTTCATGAATGCTCTTTTAATGTGTTTAACTGTTTTATTGTAAACTCATACATAGGCCTGTCGCAATAAACAATGAATCAATTAAACGCATGATAAATGAAAATGATCAACCTCCTTTTCATTTATCAGCTTTATTGTTTCTTCGTGCCTCTCTCTTTCTGCTGAAGACACTGGATGACAAAAGGCTCAACTCCGGTGCTCTTCACTGACCCCTCCCTTTCTCTTTTCTCTTTAAAATCAGTTTTAACCAATCGTGTTTTTGGATCGCTGAGAAGCTAAGCTACGAGCTAAGCTAACAGGCCGACCTCGGGGGGGAAAACCTCCGTCTTGTCGAAGCTCCAAAATTCACGGTGGAAACCCGTGCCTTCGTGTAAAAAGTTGTTTTTCTCTGCAAAAAGAAGCTGATAGCTTGTTTACTGTTTTTTTTATTTTTATTAACAGCTTTGTGTGAAAAATGCTATGCTAAAGAGCTCAAACCACACCAAGCGTCCGCCATTTTGAGAACCAAATAAAAGGAGAGACAGCCCATGTCAGGTCATGGGGCCTCCCTTCCATTTTTCTTAAAGAGACATGCTGCTCGCTCCCTCACTATCCATCCTTTGGTTCAAACAATTTTCTACTGCCATCCAGTGGTCAAATAATGAAACTATACACAAAAATTAACCAACATTTCTTCTTAAATTTGACAATAATCGCTAATTATTGTCAAATTTCCAATATTATCATTTATTGCAATAATTTCTGAGACGATTAATCGCCCAGTACAGTTTGTTATCGTGACAGGTCTACACATACAGAACCCTCTAAATGCAATAGTTTGGAGTATCAGAGACGCATGTTGTGATTCCTCCTTGTAAAGTTGCTGTTACAGTGGTAAAGCATGTTTATCTGCACATCTCTATTGTTGTTCCCAGGTGATGAAGATGTACCACATGAACAACACTGACAGCATCAATGCCGAGTCCAAGCTGAAGGAGGCGGAGAAGCAGGAGGAGAAGCAGATGGGACGCTCCAGTCGACAGGAAGATCGCCAGACGCCGCGCTCCCCTGACACCCTGGCCAGCATCAAGAGCGACGAGAAGGTCGTCCGACGCTCCAGTGTGAAAAAAATCGAGAAGATGAAGGAGAAGGTGAGCAGGGCGGCGGAGGGAATGTCGAAGGCATCAAACAGACATAGGATGGCTGTTTTTGAGCGCCTCACCTGTTGTCACAAAGACGTGCGTACGTCTCGTGAATTATTTATAGGTGGATTATCGCTAACCTTGTCTTGTTGGAGCTTGTCACAGCAGTTTGATTCCACACTTCTTATCAGCCCAAATCAATACTGACTTATTTCACTTTAGCGCTTATTCCTGCCGTCTGTCACCGCAGCCCTGCTTTCTTTGTTTTACTTTCTCTCTTTTTGCTCTCTCTCTCTCCTTTTCTTAAATCCAGAGACAAGCAAAGTACACTGAGAACAAGCTGAAGGCCATCAAGGCCAGGAATGAGTACCTGCTGGCACTGGAGGCCACCAACAGCTGCGTCTTCAAATATTACATCCATGACCTCTCCGACATCATCGATGTGAGTAAATAAAGCACAGCAGCCCTGTTGTAGGAGCTGGTTTTAGCTCTGTGTGACCTTATTTGGGATTTCCCCTGGGTCAGTCTCTTCACATTAGCTTCAGTGCTTCTAATGAAGTGTGCAAAGTGGCCATCCTCTGTCCTTTCGTCTTTTTGATTTCCCAACACTTTTAAAGTTTGTTGTGATTGCTTGTAAACAGCCAGTGGCAAAAAAAAAAAAATTTATCTGTGAAGCACAAAGCAGTCTGCTTTCTGCTTGATCATAAAACATTTCACTGCCTGCTGGTCCAACAACAGGTTTATTTTTAATGACATTTTTAGTCATGTTAGTGGTGAGAGCTTAGATTGATTATTTTAAAAACACATCTTGATGTTTTTATTTTTAAACTTCCAAACAAAGATTTGTACAATTTAACTGTAGATAAGTAGAAACTTCTTAAGTTTCAATGAAAAGAAGTCTGAAGTCATGTTGTTCCCTCCCAATGACACGATCATAAACCACTGCATCGACCTTTCTGCTCTATCCCTGTCAGAAAAACAAAGAGTCACTAATCTGGGCGTGATAATGGACCCTTCCCTGAAACTTAACAATCACGTAAACATGATTGTTAAATCATGTTTCTTCCAACTGAGGCGGCTGTCTAAACTGAAGCCCATATTGTCCAAAAATAACCTGGAGACAGTAATGCATGCATTCATTACATCTAGGCTTGATTACTGCAACTCGCTCCTGTTTGGTATCAGTCAGACCTCCATTGCACGACTACAACTGGTCCAGAATGCAGCAGCCCAATTTTTAACCAGTACAGGCAAAAAAGAGCACATTACACCAGTTTTGGCCTCACTGCACTGGTTACTGGTTCACCTTAGAATCTAATTCAAAATACTCTTGTATGTCTACAAATCGCTGAACAGTTTCGTCCCCCTCATCTCTCTGATCTGCTACATCCGTATGTCCCACCACGTTCCCTGAGGTCAGCAGACCAGTTGCTCCTCACAGTTCCAGGAACTCGTCTTAAGCGCAGAGGGGACAGAGCCTTCTCTGTAGCAGGACCAAGACTTTGGAACGAGTTACCTCTGCTTGTCAGACAGGCCCCCTCCCTCTCGGTTTTCAAATCCCGTTTAAAAACCCACTACTATTCGGTGGCTTTCAACACCAGAGGATCTGTGTTTTGAACCTGTACGCTCCACACTGGTTTGTCGTCATATTTATTATCTGCATCGTTTTTATGTCTATATTTTTGATTTACTTCATTTTGTATATTGCTTTGTGTTGTCTATTGTTCTGTCTGTACAGCACTTTGGTTGGCCTTGTAGCTGTTTTAAGTGCTCTATAAATAAAACGGTATGGTATGGTATCATGTAAGTTGTAAGGAAAACTAGGGAAGTAGTAAAAATTTGACTTCCTTAGAGAACTTGCAGACCTGTTTACATGAATGTTACATCAGATACACAATTTACAAAGTTCATGTTCAGCCTTAGAGAATCATCCTAAATATCATATTAGATCTGTCTAATCAGACTATTACCAAATAGAAACTGGCAGTCCCCATAGGAAAATCAGTGGAATATTATTGCAACTTTAAACCTTTCTATGTTTTTTATTTTATTACCTGTGTTCAGATCACAACTGATGACATCATCTAGTGGCCTGTATAGTCTTTAAAGCTTTGCAAATGTGAGCATCAGGCTGTGTGATGAGACAGAATTGTTGTTTTTATTTAATTCCTTGTAATTTAAGAGTTTATAATCAATTGGTTCTCAACCTTCCTACTATTCCTAACATCAGACATCCTACTGTAAGCTCTGGCCCTAATGTTTTTAAATACAGGTTTCTACTACACTGTAAGCTGTATATATAATTTTATTATTTTAAACTTGCAGTTATTTATGGTGCATGAATAAATAAATATCTGCTTACATATCAGCCACATTAGCTTAAAAAAAACACTGTATATTTAGTTTATTCATGTAAAATCATTGTCGTCATTGTTTGCATTTTACAGTTTGAAATTATTCAGCAGTGTGAGTGTTTATTGACTGACAACAAATCTGTGAGTAATAGTAAAACAAATGTACACTCAGTGTAGTTTTAAAGCTGTGACAAGTAAACAGAGTGGGATAATATCATTTATAACTGCTATGCATCTGATTTATCAAGTTAGGCAGCAGAAACTCGATGAACTGAGCTATAAAACAGGTTTAACTTGACAAAGCTCGATTTGTGTTTGCTAATCCTAAAACTCCTCCGACCAAAATCTGCAGCAGCTGCGGGATCCCATCATGTCAACCAAAGTTCCTGAGGAATGCTTGTGGTACTTTGTTGAATAAATGCCATGTAGTAAAAGCAGCAGTAGCAAGATGTAAAATACTTTTTTCACCACTGTTCAGATTTATTAAATAAGCTGTAAGGGAGCTAAAATCTATTGATCATCAATGTTTGAACTGTGACATTGCTCCAAATTATGTTTATTATTTACGTCTCCTGTCGGCCTTTCTTGTTGACTGAAAAGACAAAAAAAATAAACAAATCTGTGAATAATAACTACACAGTCACTGAGAGTAAATTTCATCTTAGCAGGTGTTTATCCGAAAACACTGTAACCAAATTTAAAGATTCTCTTCCATCGTCGTTCTCCTCTGTCTTGCAGAGCAATGCATCAGAGAGCAGTGGCTTTGATCATCTGGTTGATAAATGTACAACTTCTATGCAAACATCACTCGATAAAACTGCTCTGCTGAAAAAGAAAGTAATCAATCAGAGGAGACTGGCTCCTTGGTTCAATTCCAAGTTACTGTATGCACTTTAAAACAGGCATGTAGAAAGCTGGAAAGAAAATGGTGCTCCACTAACGTTGAAATTTTTAATTTATCTTTGAGAGATAGCCTGCTAACTTATAAAAAAGCACTCCGTAAAGCTAGAACTTTATATTATTCATCTTTAATTAATGAGAATAAAAATAACCCCAGTTGCCTTTTCAACACCATAGCTAGTCTAATAAAAAGTCCCATCTCTGTTGATTCATGCATCCCTACAACTATAAGCAGTGATGAGTTCATGAGGTTCTTTATAAATAAAATTATTTCAATTAGGGAACAAATCCAAACCATCATTCCTACTATCGCCTCTGGTTCCCCATCAGATGAGGCAACTCAAAAAATGTCACTAGAACCGGATTTATGTTTGGACTTTTTGTCCTGTTGATCTCTCTGAATTGTCAAAAATTATAGCTTCATCCAAACTCCACCTGTTTGCTAGATCCCATCCCAACCAGGCTATTTAAAGACGTATTTCTCTTAATTAATATCCATATTTTGAATCTGCTTAATTTATCTCTAATAAACGGTTACGTACCACAGCGCTTTGAAAAGATAAGAGGAAAAAACATAAAGTGAAAAGCCATTGTTTATGTGCACTGTTAACTTTACAACAAATTCTTTCATTTCATACTAAGTGTGTGAATGTGTGTGCAACAGTGCTGTGACCTGGGCTACCATGCTAGTCTGCATCGCGCCCTGAGGACGTACTTATCTGCAGAGCAGAATGTGGAGACGTCCAAACACACCGGGCTGGAAACACTGGAAGGAGCAGCAGAGAGTCTGGAGCCCAACGGGGACAAACAGAAAGTCATGGAGACCTACAACAATGTCTTCTGTCCACCAGCTCGCTTTGACTTCCAGTCTCACATGGGAGACACGGTATGGTTCTCACTCTCATTTGTGTCAAAGTTAGAGAAAGTCTAAAAATGAGTTTTATCATACGTGGATGTGTATGTGTACTCTTTTGTAGATGGGAGTGGTGTGTTCACAGCAGCCGCTGGAAGAGGACCTTCTCCAGAGATGTCAGCAGCTGCAGTCTCGCCTCTCCACTCTGAAGATTGAGAATGAAGAGGTCAGACAATTTTCTGGCTTTACTCTGAAATCAGCACTTTTTCCACTTTTTTGTTCATCATATTTTGTTTTATTTCTCCTCTGTCCACCAGGTGAAGAAAACCATGGAGGCCACTCTGTCCACTATTCAGGACATGGTGACGGTGGAGGACTACGACGTCTCCGAGTGCTTCCACCACAGCAACAGCATGGAGTCGGTGAAGTCCACTTTCAGCGAATCCTATCTGAGCAAACCCAGCCTGGCCAAGCGACGAGCCAATCAGCAGGAGACGGAGCAGTTTTACTTCACAGTCAGTGACATCTTTGGTCGCAGATCTTTTTTTTTTTTTTTTTTTTTTTACAAACATTAGTTGTAGTTTAGCGAAACCTCTATTGGACAAAGATATGCACACGCGGCATGTTTCGTAAATGAATACAATCCACATATATAGTAAGTCTTTGTTGGTTTGTGTGTTTTATAGAAGCTGAAGGAGTTCCTAGAAGGAAGGAGCCTGATCACCAAGCTGGAGGCCAAGCATGATTTAATCCAGAAGACCATAGGAGAGAGTGAGTGTCCTTCATACCTTCTGCTTGTTGTCCCTTTTTTCCCATCTGCATGAGTGGAGGAGTGAGAAGGAGAGGGGTGTGTGTGAGAGATGAGTTGTGCAGTGGGGACACATCAGGGTCACAGCAGTGAAGCAGAATGAGTTTAATATATCAAATAATCACAAGCTGTGTACGAGTCAGGAGAAGGTCACAGTGACACTGACCATACGTGGGTACAGTTGTGTTTTTAAATGTGGGGGTGGGGGCCATTTCTTCTGGTCACACAAGTCAGAGTTTCCGTTACCCCGTGTGTGTGTTTGTGTGTGTATTGTGAGTGGAAATCCTGTTTTCCTGTGTCGTCTTATCGTATTGCATCATACCGTATTGTATAATATCACATATAGTATGGCATCACATTGCACTGTATCAGACTGCACTGCACTGTGTTATTGTAAATCACTGTGATGCTTCACCTCAAGTTGTTTCTTCACGTCCATTAAAACGCTTGTTTCTGTTTCTCTCTTCTCTCCGACTTCTTTCTTTCTTCTTCCTGCTTTCCCTTCCTGTAGGTCAGAAAACTGACTGTTGCCTTGCCAGGTAGGTGTGGTGAAGGATGAAAATATGCTCTCTCCCACCAGTAAACGTGCAAAAACCATTTGAGTGTTGCAACCTGATCCCTTGGCAGTCTGTGACATTATTTTCCCCGTAGCTGTTTGCAGATATTTTTAACACATGTGCACATGTGTCTGTTTATACAAATAGAGCATTAACAGAGTTGTGATTATAAATAGTTTCACTGGAGGCGTAATGACAGAGTGCTGTTATTTTTTTTTCTTTTTTCTCCTCATAGTGGAAGGAGAAACTCGACCGTACGGAAGCAGGTAATTATCTGGATGTGTGTATCTCTGAGTGGTTGCTGGCTTCTCAGTCGGAGCCGCTGCCGCTTCGTTTTTCTCTCAAACCACATTTTCTCACAGCAGCTTTGGTCCCTGAGTTGCTCTGACATCTAGACGCTGGTGAAACTTAATTTATGACGGATAAATCTAGCACAAAATGTGTATATTTATGTTTTTTTTCCCCATCTTAAATCAGAAGTTGATGAAAATGAAACTATCAGGGAACCTCATGTTTATAGCTCCCCCTTGTGGGGTGACTTGTTTATTTTTCTGTCCTAAGCTCTGACTTCCTAATATTTTTTTAATTATTATTAAATTTTCCCAATAATAGCTTCCAACAAATAATACTACAGCTGTGTTGATAAAACTGCTGTTGCATTTATCATGCAGCAATTATTGCACAGTCAAACGTCTGAGAGACTTCTGGAAAACCGAAACAAACAAAGGGAAAAGGGGAAAGTGTGGTTTCCTAGCAACAGCTGCACCCACTGTGTCTAACCCATGTCTCAAATCCATTTTTCTTGAACACATGCACTGTTGTAAATGCATGTGCAGGCACGCCTGTGAAGAAAATGTGCTCTGTGTGTGCATTTCTTTTCCAATAATGCCTTCATTAAACAGGAATAATTCCTCCTTATTTTGTTTCAGGACTCGGGTGAAGCCATTCCGCTGATGGTCGAGAGCTGCATCCGCTTCATCAGTCACCATGGTGAGGAAATTCTCCTCCGAAGCGATAGGTTTAGCATCAGCTCTTCGATGCAGCGATTGGTCGTTTCATTTTTAGGGGGAGTGTGATTGGTTGTGGGGTTGGCTTGAACTGAAAATGTAATCAGAACTTCTTATATTTGAACAGCAAAACCAACAAATGTATATCCTGAGTGAAAACGTACAAGAGGCTGTAACTTCTTTGTGTGTGTGTGTGTAGGTCTGCAGCACGAGGGCATCTTCAGAGTGTCAGGCTCTCAGGTGGAGGTCAATGACATCAAGAACGCCTTCGAGCGAGGTGAAACTACACTAACAAGATGCACCGACCCTAATGTCCGAGTGTTCGTTTCTTTAAAGTAATAGTTCAGATAATTTGAGTGGGGTTCTCTGGGAAGGTTGTGAACAATTAATATCTTGCGTTCTGTAGATAGCTCGTTGGTCATAACTTGGAGATGTTTGTCACTTTCACATTATTCAATTATGTACTTGGATAGAAATTATATTCTGGAAATAGTGTAGCAGAAGTTAAGTTGTAGCATTTTTGGATATATTCAATAAAGTTAAGTCAGGTCCTCTGGATGGCTTCTTTGTGTTGAAACGTTTTGTCTTTCACCCAAAAGACTCAATCAGTCCGAGGAGCCACAACAAACTCAGTCCCATAGATAGCACCTTCACATAGTGGACCAACCAGTTTGATGGTGATAAGACAGTTTCTGAAGTTTGCCCTGTCCCCCTACGACTCCTCTGAGGAACAATTATTGAGCATGAACTGTGATGTTTTGAACCACTTTGGCTATGGCTGCCTCAGAGGGGTCGACGGGGGAGAGGGCGGACTCCAGAAACCATCTCATCACTAGGGATGCACCGATCCACTTTTTTCACTTCCGATCCGATACCTGCAGCTTCTTGTCAGACCGATACCGATCTGATACAGAAAAACTGTGCTGAATACACAAAAATGGCTAAATCATGTCATCTGGATCCGTTTCTGAAACAGATCCAGATGACATGATTTTTGTTGTCCATCTGGATGTTTGAGCTTACAAACCCAGTGCTGAATTAACTTAAAACATTTGTTTTGTTGAACACAGGCATGAAGGTACTGAATTACAAATTTATTGAAAACTCTGCACCATAACAGCACACTTGGCCAAACATGTCAAAACAACACAACTTTTAATTTGTTCAGTCAGTACGCGAACGCGTGATGTCACTCAGGGTACAAAGATTAGAATTAGAGTGAATAGATCTACCCAGTCATGGATCGGTCACATTGTCACCGATACCCGATCCAGAAGTTTTTCAGATATCGGTACTGATCCCAATATTGGTATCGGATCAGTGCATCTCTACTTATCACCATCAAACTGGTTGGCCCAATAGAGTAAGCCACTTATGGGACTGAGTTTGTTGTGGTTCCTCGTAGAGTTGCATTCGGGCCTAAAAAATCTGACGCGACCCGGCCCTAGCCCGTATGGATTTTTTTCCAACCAGACCCGATAATCCATCCATCCATTATCTTTACCCGCTTCTTCCATTTTGGGTCACGGGGGTTACCAGTGCCCATGTCCAGCAATCACTGCGAGGGGCGGGGTACACCCTGGACAGGTCGCAAGTCCATCCGACCTGACTAATTAATTGTAATTAAAGGCCTGAATCTGAAAAATAAAGACTTTTTTTATTTTTTATTAAGCTTTTACTGCTTTTGTAAGCAAATCAATTTTAAAAACGTAACAAAAGGAAAATATAAGATTTCTTCATTATCAAGTCACCAAATGAATATTAACATACAAAATTAATAGTCTAAAAAAATCAACTCTAAAGATGAAGAAAGATGAAGATGATGTCTTTTTTTTTTTTTTTTTTACCTCTTTCAACCGCCGGTCGAACCCGAGCGTGCACCTGACCTGACACGCATCAGCAGGTTTCACTGTGTTGGCTTTGTAGAATGAGTTCTCCCAGTTTTAGCTTTTGTTTAATATTTTCCAGCTCCATTATGTCGCTTGTGAGTCAATTACAAATTCTCAGATGTGTGATAGGAGCAGGGCGGGCTGGGCCACATGTGCAATTGTTGCGCAATGCGCCAGCTCTACTCTCTTTTCACAGTCTGATTAACATCTGTGCACTATTTTATTTCTTTTTCATCCTCATCAGTAAACTTACTGCCTCCTCCTCAACAAGTAGATTAACACAATTTTATATTGTGCATTCTTATTTAGTTTTCTTTGTGCTGTATGATTCGTAGAACCGCATCAAAAGCCCGAGACAGACCCGGCCCGCCCATCAAGCACATAATTCAGGCCGGGTCTGGCCAAAAATCACAGCTGTAGTTCCTCGGACTGATGAAGTCGTTTGGATGAAAGACGAAACATTTCAACACAAAGAAAACATCCAGAGGACCCGACTTAACTTTGATGGATTTTTTTAACCTGGATTATTGAGCATGAACTTTGAACTTTTGGATAGAATTTTATATTTCCCCTGCAATGTTTGTGTAATGTGAAACTGATGGAGGTTTTAAGATTTTTTTAGTAGTTTTCATCGAAACGGCTAAGAAAGTCTTTAGCTTGATGTAAGCTTCTCTTATCAGGTCAGAATTAAACTCTGAATTTCCAAACTAAGGGCGTTCAAAGCGCCATCTACAACAGAACCACTCATTAGAAGATACTTCTTCCTCTTGGCTGCGTTTAGGCGAAGACCCGCTGGCAGGGGACCAGAACGACCACGACATCGACTCGATAGCCGGAGTGCTGAAGCTCTACTTCAGAGGACTGGAGCGCGCCCTCTTCCCTAAAGAAGTCTTCCATGACCTCATTTCCTGTGTTTGTGAGTGTCTCTTCCTCAGGTTTGCCTTTGTGTGTCTGTTTTAAATCTGATTGTCTGAGTAATCTCTTCGGCGGTGGTGTCGTCTTGTTTTCCAGCGATGGAGAGTCTGCAGGAGCGGGCGGTCCACATCAAGAAAGTCCTTCAAGGCCTGCCGAGTAAAACCCTCGTTATAATGAGATACCTGTTCGCCTTCCTCAACCAGTGAGTAGCAGGACACCCAGAATAAAAGTTTACCTGAAAGTGAAATAAGATCTAAGATATGAGGAAATATGCTAAACACTAATGGTGCAAAAACAATACGCCGAGCAACAGCAGCACGAACATGAGCAGATGAGTACGAATGAATGCAATGCATGAAATAAATCAGCAGCATGAGATCAGCAGCACTTCACTGGGGTTTAAAGGATGTTGTTGATTGTCAAGTCAAATGTATTTATAAAACACATTTAAAACATCAGCTGTTACCAAAGTGCTTAACAATAAGATCAAATGTAGTAATTAAAGAAAAAAATAATAACAAGCTGTCATTAAAAGCATCAGTAGTAAAACATAAAAACACAAAACAAATGAATACTAATCAAATCACACTGTTAAAAGTCAGTGAAAACAGATGTGTTTTTAAAAGAGATTTAACAACAGGACGTGAAGTGGTCTGTCTAAAGTTGAGGGGCAGATTGTTCCAGAGTTTAGGGCCCACAACTGTAAAAGCCCGATCTCCTCTGAGCTTCAACCTGGTTTCTGGTACAAACGAAAGCAGCTGATCAGATGATCCCAGCACCCGAGAAGGAACATATGGTTGAAGTAGCTCAGAGAGATGAGGGTGCAAGTCCGTTTAGGCACTTACAGGTCAACATGAGAATTTTAACATAAATTCTGACACGTAGAGGGAGCCAGTGAAGGGAGGACAAAACTGGTGAAATGTGCTCAAACCAATGAGTTCCTGTTAAGAGTCGAGCTGCAGCATTTTGGACGAGCTGGAGTGACACCTGACTGACCCCCTGATTGTAACGGACTTGAGCTGAATTGTAACTAATTGAAATTAGTTGAACTCTTCTTATTTATTTAATTTATTGCAGTGAACTGAATTAGGATCGGCTTGAAACAGGCTGTTATGTCTAATGAAATAGAAGAGCTTGCACAGTCTTTACCTCATATCAGTGCCTTATTTAAGTGGACACCAAATTGACTTTTGTCTTAAAATATGGCACTGTACGTAAAAATATAATTAAAAATTCAATTCAGTTAATTTGTATAGCGCCAAATCACAACAGAAGTCGTCTCATGGGACTGTACAGAAACATTCATATACATATAAAGTCAGTTAATACCATTATTTATCTAAGGAGCCAACAGATTGCTTTGAGTTAAATACTGAATAGCAGAACTTAGTGTGTGCAAGCAGCACATTTAATCATAACTAAATGCTTTTTCTTTATTATAATGAACAACCTTGTTCTAATTACAATGGTTCAAAATACACTCTTGCAATCCACTTATTTCATAGACTCTCAATTTTCCACAACCACACTCACATATTTAGATATTTTCACCAAATCTCAACATCCTTTAATCTTTATAAGAGGTCTAGTGTGAACTGTGATGAAATATCAAGTTGCAGAGGCAGAAGCTAATCTTTCATTACTTTAGGAATTCAAAACTTTGCTCTTTGAGGCTTTGTTTAATTTCCTTCTTCATATCAAGTTTATTTTTTTATATTCTAGTATCGTATACAGTTCCTCATTAGGCTTCATAGCTTCACTTCAGTCCAAAGCATTGGTCTCTTACTGAAAGCTTAATAAACCAAAACAACTTTAAAGTCATACCATTAGCTGTCCAAATGTAGGTTAGCTCAACGTCTTATGAAATATGAAGAAATGTGACATTGATTTATTTTTGTTTTCCTGGTCTGAATAAGTTTTGACAAAGAAAGCCCAGTATGAAAAAAATAAATGCAATTTTAGATCATATCTTGTTTTTAACTAAATAAAAGCACTTTTTTTTTTAAATAACTTCAATACGCAGAGTGCTTGTCATCTTGATTTAAAAATAAATAAATAAACAAAAACTAGACACGATCTGTTATTTTTATGCGTGCACGTTAGCATAGCAGCTACATGAATGAGAAAACACTCTAAAGTTCCTTGTAAAGTTTTTAAATGTGCAGATTATTTTTCTCCAGTTTAATGAAAGCAACTTGTTAGGCAACAATTAGCCCCAAAATGAAACAAAAATTACAAATAGCATCCTGTTTTATTAAGAAAATATGCTAAAGGTATTCATTACAATGTAATGAATTTAAAAACGTTATATTGTATAATATATATATATATATATATATATATATATATATATATATATATATTGTATAATAAATATAATAATATATATATTCCCGTCCGTGTCCTTTACTTCCTCCTAATTGTCTTCTCCATGATTCTTCATCTGTCTGATTCTTCCATATCTGGAAAACTGTTCAAGTAAACTTTTTCAAACTGCACCGTTTGATATAATTCAGAATAAACTTTTTAACCCATTTTATAGTTTTCAACGAGTACCTTTAAATTCTCTTAATAAGACGGTAAACGTTTGGGAAAAAAGTATTATTTTGTTGTTCTTTTCAAAGTTTTGTCCCCTGCTGTCCATTTTTGTTTGCATTCTGCTGGAATGATATTTGGACATGCAGAAAATATAAACTGACCACTGTTCAAACATTTCCTCTTAGAATAAATTAAATATTTGTACTTGGACACAAACATTGATAAAGTGAAAAAAAAAAAAAAAAAAAATCAGTCTTTAAAAATCTGAACTTTAAAAAAAGAAACCGTGCGAGGGCCTTCCGTGGTCCAACACGGTTTTGAACACGGGTACAACGTAAAACCTGGACACATGCAAACATGCACACATCTGCATATTTGGAGATGAGCCTTCCATTTTGTTCAAGTACAAAAAAACAAAACCTTCACGTGAAAGAGGACAAGATGGAGTGGAGTGGGGGGGGGACTGACTTCTGAGACTCCTGAGTAAACCAGACAGCTCATGTGGAGACGGTGGAGTTTCCACTTGTACAGGAGTGATTCACTGGCCTCCCCCCAGCGTTCTTATTTCTTTTTCTTCCTTTAACACACTTCATGAAGCTCCATGTCCCCCTCCTCTCTGTGGTTTTTGCTGTTGGACTGGATGGGTCTAAAGTTTTTCACATACACCAGTTTGCTTTGGGTTTCTAAAGACCTGCAGTGGTTGCTCCTGTGACTTTGTTTACATTTATTTTAGGGATTTAGACAATGCCATAAAACTAATTTGCCTCATCTCCCCCACCCCCACAGCTTGTCTCAGTACAGTGAGGAAAACATGATGGACCCCTACAACTTGGCCATCTGTTTCGGCCCCACCCTGATGTCTGTCCCCGAAGGCCACGACCAGGTCTCCTGCCAGGCTCACGTCAACGAGCTCATCAAAACCATCATCATCCACCATGACACCATCTTCCTGGGGCCGCAGGACCTGCAGGGTCCCATCTACATCATCCCTGGAGCCGGAGATGACTTCTGGTGAGAGCTAATGTCGAGTCTAGGGAATTTTTATATGAGGAGAGGATGGGGAAGGGTTTAGAGAGGGCGGGGGCTCAGCTTGTCTGCTCTGCTCAAAACTAGGGGGCCCACGAGAATCAGCTTACTGTCCGTCACAGGAGAGATTAAAGCAGCGCCTGACCACATCAGCCAATGATGTGCACAGCATGAACGCACTACAGTGCAGTGCTCACAATGGCCAAGTTTCTTTATGTTATTCCAACGACAAGTAGTGGCGCAAACTGTTATGATTACTGTCAATCACTGAGGTCCTATGAACTCTGAAACAGCCACATTGTTAATTCTGTGGAACATCGAGACAAACACCGTTCATCACACCGGCTGGTTGGGATTCGTTAAACTCTTTGATTTTTTTCTCCAGGAAATTAGATATTTGACCGACTTTATTTCAGGGAAAAGGCGCACAATTGATGCTTAGTCCATTTAGAAACATGGCAGCAGATGACAAATGTATTTATAAAAATAAACAACGTTTGACTCAAGCTTCCTGTTTCAGCAAGTGACGCAGAAAAATACAGGAAATGAAAAGGAAGCGGAAAAGTCCCAGCATTCCTTGAGGGAAGGCAAATCGCCCACTGCCTTCCTTCCATGGCAGGGATTTAAACTAAACATTTATGTTCACAGTTATTGCCGTTTTGGTCAAACTTCGAAAAATGTGACATTGGGATATCTCAGGTCACCTTGCATGATCTCTTGGTGCTTGGAGTATGTGTTGTGAATGACTGTCGGCTACTACCACGCCAAATCTAAGCTCAATATCTGTAAAAATTAGCTGTTTTTGTGTTTAATGTTCCTGAGAGATTTTACTTGCAGGCAGAGAGGGAGTTGATACAGAGCAACAAAGTCCATGCTCAATAATCCAGGTGTACAATCCAACATTTTTCAGTCAGATCATCTGGACAGTTTCTTTTTTTGTGCTGAAACGTTTCACCTTCCATCCGGAAGGCTTCATCAGTCAAGGAAACACACAACACAAAACTGATGATTCCCCCAACAGCTTACTCCAAAGTGGAACAAACCAGTCATGTTGGTGCTAAGATGGTCTCTTTGGCACGCCCCCTCCTCCGGTGCCGGCCCTCTTCCTCTGAGTTCTGCTCTTGGTGTGTACCGTGAAAGTTTAGCATGTGTCTTTGTAAATTTCTTCTCCTCTGTGTCCACTGTAGTGACAGTCCACACTGTGAGCCCCCCCGCGTGGAAGAGCCGGCACCTGACGCCATCTCTGTCGGCCACAACAGTGAAGATGGTGCGTAACGTTGTATACTTTAAACCACACATTTCATTTTGTCTGCCGTTCGTTGTGATCTGTCCTGCTGCTCGTTTGTTATTGTGGTTTTCACCTCTAGTAACAATCGACTTTATGCTTTTATTGCTCAGTTGTTTTCAACGTGTAATCGGCGAATGCAGCAGCACTAACTGCTTATGCACTAATCTGGCACCCCTTCCTCCTCCATCTCTCTGCCATTTTTCTCCCTTTTTCTTGCCATGCTTCTACCGCTTCCTGTCTCCTGTTTTCCATCCTCTGAATCTCAGGCACCTTGACCGTTTCAGAGTCTGAGCCGGTCGAGGCCATCGCTCGCTTCGACTACACGGGCCGCACCAGTCGGGAGCTGTCGTTCAAAAAGGGCGCCTCTCTGCTTCTGTTCCAGCGGGCCTCCGACGACTGGTGGGAGGGTCGGCACAACGGGGTGGATGGACTGGTGCCACACCAGTACATCGTTATTCAAGACGCGTAAGATTGTTCTCCTGTCTTTGTCAAACAAAAGTCAGCGTCGAGATCTGGAAAAAATTCTGTTGAAGTGCATATTTTATTTGGGATAAAGCCTCTGATAGACAGAAACTGATAGAAAAACTATTTTCTCTTCAAAACTCAGAGAAAAAGCTAAAATGTTATCGAGTCTGATGAAAACTAAACAAATATATTCACAAGAAATTCCCATTTCTGTAGAAGTTGATCTGCTGGGATTCAAACTACAAATCAGAGCCTAAACAAATTTTAAATATGATTTTTCTGTCAGACTTACAGGAACGTTTTACTGAGTGGTTTTTACTCCAGTTTGTCTCATGATTAAAGCGCAGCAAGAATTTCCTTCTGAACTATTTCAGACCCGAAGTGGAACGAGGAAGTCCAAAGCCTGATGTGGACAACAGAGACCTGCTGGAGGAGAGAGTGTCCACCAGAGGCAGCGCCGCCTCCCCCACAGGACCGCATGTGGCGGACATCTATCTGGCCAACGTCAACAAGTGGGTTTTATGTACAAGTAGGATTTCAGAGCATCAATGCTGCACAATTTCATTATTTTTATTAAATAGATTTAGGTTAAATCTTGCCTACAGAGAGCAGACAACAACTTGCCCTTTAGGGTAAATAATCACGTTTTTTTCCTGTGAGGAAGCTAAAGTTTCTCACATTACCCCAGTTGTTTGCTCTCATTGTTTTTCCATGTACATACCCGGAATAATTTGAGCTCAAATTTAAGTTCCTCGTGTAAAAATCCTTCATGTTGTGTTCAAAGTTTACACAAAATAACACCACCCCTGCACATGCTCGTTTGAACGTGTTTGTGTTGTTTGGCAATAAATGCCAAACCATGAGTTTGAAGTGAACCACAGCATTTTGGCCAATTATTTTAAAGCGTGTAACTGAAACATTTTGTTGCCCTCAGGATGAGAAAACGACCTGAACCCGGGAACATCAGGAGACCGTTCCGCTCAGAGAGCGACACTACGAGTCCAGTCACTGGCAGCAGTGGGGGAGGAGGAGTGAGAGCAGCCTCTCTTCCAGGTGGGGCTCTGGTGAAGGACAACGGAGACAAACGTCCCGTCAGTGCTCACAGCATCCTCAACTCAGTCACTCGTCACTCTTCGCTCAAAACAAAGGTACTGCAGGTCATAAAAAGACAGGCTGCTCGTGAAGCTGAAGGTATTCAACAGAGGCTGATCTGTACGTTTAGGTGGAGAGTCCACAGTTAAGGAAGACGGCTCCTGCAGGACGTTCCAAGAGCTTCAGCAACCACAGACCACTAGACCCTGAGGTCATAGCCCAGGTGGAGCTCAGCTCACAGGTACATTCAGATTCTTACTGCACCGTGAATAGAATTCAGAATCTTAATTCTAACCTACAAAGCCCTCAACAGCCTAGCTCCATCTTATATTAGAGATCTTATTGTTCCATATTTCCCTTACAGAGCACTTCACTCTCAGACTGCAGGTTAACTTGTGGTTCCTAAAGTTTCCAAAAACAGAATAGGAGGAAGATCTTTCAGTTATCAGGCTCCTCTCTTGTGGAACCAACTTCCAGTTTCTGTTTTTAAGGCTGACACATTGTCCAGTTTTAAGACTGGGATTAAGACTTTCCTTTTTGTTAAATCCTATAATTAGGGTTGGCTTGTTATGCTGCCCATAGGCTTAGACTACTGGAGGACAAATTGACCACATTTCCTAAAATGATTTGTTACAATTGAATAGTTTTCATTTGATAGGCCTGTTGCAATAAACAATAAATCAATCGTATGATAAATGCAAATTATTGACCTCGTTTTCATTTTTCGGCTTTATCGTTTCTTCGTGTCTTTTTCTACTGAAGACACTGGATAATTACTAATTATTGTCAAATTTCAAACAATATTATCATTTATCGCAATAATTTCTGAGACAATCACCCAGCAAAATTTGTTATTGTGACAGGCCTATCATTTGATACTATTTCTATCTCAACATGTGATTCTCGACCTGCCATTGTGTATCTGTTCCTCCTTCCTGTTCCTACCAAACCCAGCCAGTTGAAGCAGATGGCCACTTGTCCTGAGTCTGGTTCTGCTAAAGGTTTCTTCCTCAAGAGGGAGTTTTTCCTTTCCACTGTCACCTTCATGCTTG